TTTTATGAAAATAACTGAGAAATTTGTTTTTCTTATGCGTCCAACGCCAGGGAAAGGGATTTCAAAGTTAAATAACAGCCAGATCGAATCAATCCCGATCCACGAGAGAATCTATATTGAGCGGGGCAACCAGAGGAGTCGAGCTAGCCGAGATAGTCTGAATAGAAGCTGGCTAGAATATATTCTAGTTGGATATTATAAGTATATTATGCTATTGTAATACTCGACATATGCCTCACAATCGATCTAGCTACGCTCAAATTTGGATAGCTCTTACTGTTTAGCCTGGTATACAACCCTTTTTTGCATGCCCTGAGAATTTCGTAAGGATCGGACCATAAGCACCGAAGTTGTCAAAGAATGCATTTACCTACCGCACAAGGAATGAGAAGAATCGTTTTCCCATAGGAAATCCGGAATGTTTTGGTGGGTTGGTTGGCAGTTTATCTGGTAGTCGGGTATTCCCGACTAGAGCTCAGCTATTCGCTTAGTTCTAGTTCGATTGATTTGCATAGTTCACATCAATCAGTAGACAGCATCCGGTGAAAGGGGGGTTGCCTTTGGGGAATTTCTATATATTAAGCCAAAAATCAAGTTACAAGCATGTTGTCTAATAGAGTTGTCTGTGGCTTGCCGCGACGCCTTTGTTTCCAGTTGTGCACCCCCGTGATTAATGCTCATCGTTTGCAACGCGAGGCGGGTGGACACGACTCGCAAACGCCTTTGCTTGACACTTGACAGCCGCTAACAAACACTTTCAAGGTTTTGCAGTTAACAATGAAGATAAAGTACCTGTTAAATGTTAACGGGCAGGTTGAAAAAAAATAAAAATAAACAAACATAAGTGCAAACGAGCCACAAATTTATCGCAGCACATAAAAGTGCTTGTCAACCTTTGACAGCAGCATAAACGAGTTGGCTGCAAACTAAGTTGTAAAAGTTAATGTTAAAACATAAACATGTAAGGTTTGATGTGGAAAAATAAACCGACTTTTAATAGAACTCTGGGTCACTGCCAGAAAGCAATTACCACTAGAGAGGGAGAGAGAGAGAGAGAGAGAGAGAGAGAGAGAGAGGGAGAAAAAGATAGAGAGGGAGAGAGGTAATGCTTCGCTCTTGGAACTCTCTGGATAGCATGACGAGCATGATGAGTAAGAGGGATTTTCCAACAAGCGATATGCATGTAATTGATTATGATTGTTTGTGTTTTTACTAAATAATGTATTTAAGTACGCTACGGCAAATGGTTGCTTAGTTTGTTGAACGTCTTATTTTAAGTTTCATTTGAATTATTTTCAGAACATTCTAAGAATAAGAAAATACTTCTTCAGTTAAAAGTAAGGCACTTTTGACTGGCAATTAAGGTTCATAGCAAATTTACCAGGTGGACTCGGTACATATGATTGATAGAAAATGAAGCTGAAGCTTAATCTTCCCAAAAAGAAATTAAACCAACAGTTAAGGTTCATTGCAAATTTACCTGGAGCCCGCTAGGCTGAGTATATACATTTGAAAATCTGCCCAAAGTAATTAAATTAAGGATGAAAATGATGATGCAATAAAGCTAACATTTGCCTTGGAATTTGACTGGCAGCTAAAGTGGATTGCAAATTTACCATGTGGAGTCAGTTTCAACTATTAACTGATGCAATTTGAGTATAATATATCTATAAAAACAAAACCAGCTTTTGCCTTAGTAACAAACATTTGGCTGGCAGTTAAAGTACATTGCAAATTTACCAAGGGCATGCGTGAATTCAGCTGGAGCAGCGGCTGCCGATTGCCAGCTAGGCTTAGACCCGGCAGATGAGCTGCGATGCATTGATTAACAAAAGCTTGCCACTGATTGTTGTTGTTGTTGATGTTGTTGTTGTTGTTAAAGTGATGCAGTTCGCGGCGCATCCGGCGAGCAAATGTGAAAAACAGCCAGATGACGACTTAGCCGGGCCAGAAACAATGGCCCCGGCTGAGAACTGTGCACGGGCAGCCTTTATAAATGGGCCTGGGATGAGCAGCCGTTCGTTTAGTTGGCCAGCAGCATTTGTCAGCTAAGGGAGAGTTTTTTTTATTCGAAATTCTTTCGAATCAACCGCGAGTGAAACGGAACTGATGAGTACGATGACCACGATGCGCCACTGGAGGCTGCTGCTAAGCTGGTTGCTTGTGAGCAGCTGCATTGCGCTTGCCACGCCCTCCCTGCTGCAGCTCAAGAAGAAGCTGCTCTTCGGACATGGCGGAGGCGGCGGCGGCGGCGGCTATGGAGGAGGCGGCGGCTATGGAGGCGGCGGCGGTTATGGAGGAGGCGGTGGCTACCATGGAGGTGGTGGCTATGGAGGAGGCGGCTATCAAGGCGGCGGCTATCAAGGCGGCGGCTATCAAGGCGGCGGCTATCAAGGCGGCGGTGGCTATGGCCATAAGCAAGCGCCCAGCATCGAGGTGTATGTGGTTAAGCAGGTGCCTGTCTATCACGGAGGCGGAGGAGGCGGCGGCTATCAGGGCG